AAGCCAGACTTCATTTAAGGCGTCATCACTCTCATAGTAAGTTTCCAGTGTCACTATGACAACCCAGAAACTATCATCTGTCAGGGAAACCCGAGTCAAGGGGGACCTGAATTCGCCTTCCAGGCTGAGGGGCCTGACCATGCTGACAGTCTAATCTGGGGCCCCATACCTGGGCCACAACCAGCGGCCTGCAGTTCAGCTAGGAACATGGACATTTGGCATCAGGAACATGGTAAATAATCCACTGGTCTCCACTGACAGATTATTTTTTCTTTTACATTTTTCACCTAAAACATCTCATGCATCCTTTCTGAGAAGACATAGTTTTATTTTATTTTGCTTTAGTGAGCTTAAATTAATTTGAATCACATTTTTTAATATACCCAAGTGAAGGGGAGCAGAACATCTCTTCCAGTGAAAAAATATAAGACTATTTTCGGCCACGTGTACTCACGACAGGTTTTCAAAACTCTTCCCTGACCAGTACATCCTAGCTGTGATGAGGAAACGCTGTTTAAAGTAAAACTGACAGTGGATATGACTTTCCTGGTTGCTAGGTGCAGGACGGCACCCCCGAACCACACGTCGGATAGCCGAAGCAGCCTCCCTGCACCAGGCACTGCACTCCCACTCTTGGTAACTCCAGCTGTTCAAACGGGACACATGCACCTAGAAGTCTCCCTCCTCTGACATGACTTAGAATCACATGTCCCAAGAGACAGTAGCCTCTTAGACATCAAGAAAAACCCACCCAGAGTCGTCTTGTGCTGGTAAACACCCACTGACTGGAGAGGGGGCAGTGACCACGTGTGGCCGCCGTGGAGGTCAGACGCCTTGAGGTGGCAGTGCCCTGTGAATCCCAGGTGGGCAGGAGCAGACGGGAGCGAGGGCAGCTTCACCTGCCTCGCAGCTGCCGGATGGGCATGAGGCACACTCCACCTCATGGGTGTCAAACCCTATTTCTACCCTTCCCACCTGGGCCTTAGAAAAGAAAATATCATAAATCAAATGTAAATCTCCTCCCTTCAGGAACCCAGCACAGTTTCTGTATGAACTGAACCCATGGTGCTGACACACGATACTATGTTGCCGGCCACCCTGTGGAAACCTGGTAAGTGACACCTGACACCCGTGGGTGTTTCTTCTGATAAATGCAGCTCATGCCACGTGGCCAATCACACTGAAGTTTCCCAAAGTCTTTGCATAAGTTAGAGCTCTGACCACCAGGTTGTTTGCTGGGCAACAGTAACATGTCCACACCAGGGCCCCAGGAAGCAGAGAGGGCAGCTGGGGTGACTGATGTGCCCTCCTACCTGCAGACTGGATTGGGGGAGGTGCCTTCTGCTCGCACACCAAGTGTCACTCAGACTTGCTCAGGGACAAGGGCCCAGATAACAGGAGCTGGGAGGGATGCCAGATGGCTCCCAGCCCACAGGCACAGCCCTGGGACCACTCTAAATAAACCAGCAAGTGGCACTGAGGGAGTCAGGCATCTAAGTAAAAACCTACTCGCTGTTGTGGTCCAGGACCTTGCCAGCCCCACGGCCTGAGCCTGCACCCCAGCCTGTCAGGCCACCAAATGAAGATTTCCTCCCAAAGGGCAGAGGCCCCCAGCGGGAACATTGTTGCAGCAGGAGCCCCAGAGGTGCTTAACCTCCTGCTCATCTACACAGACATCTCCTTCTCTGCTTCCTGCTTGTCTACCCAGACACTACCCCCTCCATGTCCACACAGACCCTGATGTGTCTACAGAGACACCGTCCCCGACCCCAGAACTTTCCTTACAGAGACCTCTGGTAGGTGATCTTTCCTGAATGCTGGCCCAGAGCCTGAAAGAAGAGTGGCATTGCCCACCCATCCTGGTCTGACTGCAGCAGAGCACCGTACGGTCCCTCGACTTTCATCTGGGTCCATCCCAAGCCATATACTGTGCTGACGCCCCGTCTATAGTCCCATATGACTTTTTTGGTTGTCCGGCCTCCTGGAGCCAACACCACCTCTGATCTGCCGGTACTGGAGCCTGTTCTCCCCAGAGGGCCAGCCTGACCTCTGACCTTTGGCAAAGGTTCCTTCAAACACAGGCTGGCAGTATGACCAAAGGTCCATGCTCTGGAGGTGACCTTGGTAATTGCTTATTTTGCAAACTGACATAATGTTTTGTAAACTTTTCTGAATCCTGCTCTTTGCATGTCACAATACATTGCAAAAATCCATCTAATTCAACTCATTATTTTAAGGTTCCTTTGGAACAAGGAAGGAGAGGTGGGAGTAGTAGCAGAAGTAGATCTCCAAATGAAGCCCCACCACCAGAGGGCTCTCAGCAGCCCCCCAGCCACTCCCCCTCCAGTTCATAGCCTCCCAGCTTAGGACACTGGCAAGGCGGTCTCAGGTGCGGCCATGAAACGCCCAACAGAATCGAAATTATTCCTAAAGAGAAAGGCTCCTGGATTTTGGTTAACTATGTTCAGTAGCATTTACCATGGCCTAATTAAAATGGTGACATTTTCCGAACTGACATAAGAAGAAAGCTTGTTCAATCTCTCCTCCTGCCAGGAGGCCTCGGTGTGCTCTGGGGGTGACATCCCAAGACTCTGAGTGACCACACATCTGGACTATACGTGCCTCAATCTTCCCTCTTACCAGATCTGCCCCACGTTGACCAAGGACATGTAGAGGACCCAGAGAGCAGCCATGAGAATCATATTGGCGCAGCCGAAGACCAGGATGAAAGAGGAGATGCCCAGCCCAAGAAGCGCAAGGGCGTCTAGGTTGGAGTCCATGTGAGACCAGTCCAGCAACCAGAGGATGGTTGGGGCATAGCTCACAGCATCCCAGCTGACCTGCCCCCGGAAGTGCCGCTGCACACTCCTCAGGTACGTGCTGCAGGGCAGCAGGCCCCTGTCTCCAATTAGCTGCTTGTTCTGGTGGAGGGCCACCAGGAATGCCACACCTGGAAGAAAAGAAGAAAAAAGTAACATGAACAGGAACGCAGTCCTCTGTGGATACCAATGGGCACTTTTTAGATGTGTAGATGGCTGGGCCAGGCAAGAAGACGAGGAACAATCTGACCAATGGTTTGGACTCCAGGTGTCCGAGCATTTCACAAAATCTTGAGAGTCTTAGAAGATCCAGCCTTAGAAGCTACAATGCACATGTATATGTACACATACCTATGTGTGTTATATCTACGTATACACAATGTATATATGTATATAAAATACACACATTTAAATAAAACATGTGCCTATTTACATAAAATGGTTAGTTAACTATCCCAGAATGAACTCTGCTTACAGAAAATTCACAATAAAACATTCATGTCAGAAAAGTAAGAAGGCCTCAAATATAAACTTCCACCTTAAGAAATCAGAAAGAAAGAACAAATTACACACAAAATAAGCAGCAGAAAAGAAATGTTTTAAAGGAGGCGAACACCAAAACAAAAGAGAAAATCAACAAAACCACAGGTTGATTCTTAGATAAGATCAACATAATTGATAGAATTCTAGCCAGACTTATTAAGAAAAGGAGAGAAGATATCAATATTAGAGGTGAAAAAGGGAACATCATTATGGATCCTACAGACACAAAAAGATAATAAAGGAATACCACAAATCTCTCTAGGGTTGTATATCTGACAACTTAGATGAAATAGATGAATTACTTGAAAGACTACCAAACTCAAAAACATTGACGGTTTTTTTCAAAAAACCATCAGTGTAATTCAGCATACTAACAAACGAAATAAGAAAATCATATGATAGTATAAATAGACACACAAAAAAGTACATGAAAGAATTCATCCCTTCATGATTTAAAAAAAAAACTTTTGGGGGGACGGTATAGCTCAAGTGGTAGAGCGCATGCTTAGCATGCATGAGGTCCTGGGTTCAACCCCCAGTACCTCCTCTCAAAATAAATAGATTTACAAATAAACCTAATTACCTACCCCCTCAAAAATAACTTTCAGCAAATTAAGAACAGAGGGAACTTCATCAATCTATAAAAGATAGCTATGAAAAACCTACAGCAAAGATCATACTTAAAGATTAGTGACTACACTTTCCCCCTAAGATTTGGAACAAAGCAAGACTCTCTCATTACTCTTATTCAGCACTGTATGGAAAATCCTAGCTAGTGTAGTGTGGTAAGTATAAGAACTAAAAGACATACAGATTAGAAAGGAAGACATAAAACTATCTTAAAAAAGTTTTTTTTAATTGGAGTACAGTCAGTTTCAATGTGTCAATTTTTAGTGTACAGCACAATGTCCCAGTCATGCATATACATACATATATTCGTTTTCATACTCTTTTTCATTAAAGGTTATTATAAGATATTGACTATAGGGTGATGGTGCCTTCATAGAATGAGTTTGGGAGTACTCCCTCCTTTTCAATCTTGTGGAAGAGTTTGAGAAGGACCAGTATGAGTTCTTCATTGTATGTTTGGTAGAATTCCCCAGTGAAGCCATCTAGTCCTAGGCTTTTTTTTGCAGGGAGATTTTTCATTGCTAATTATATTTTGTTTCTAGTGATTGTTCTGTTGAAGTGGTCTATTTCTTCTTGAACTTACCATATGATCCAGCAATCCCACTTTTGGGTGTATATCCTTTAAAAGATACATGCATCCCAGTGTTCATAGCAGCACTATGTATACAATAGCCAAGACATGGAAGCAACTGAAATGTCCATAGACAGATGACTAGATAAAGAAGTTGTGGTATATTTATACAATGGAATACTACTCAGCCATAAAAAGAATAAAATAATGCCATTTGTAGCAACATGGATGGAACCAGAGATCGTCATTCTAAGGGAAGTAAGCCAGAAAGAGAAAGAAAAATACGATATGATATCACTCACACGTGGAGTCAAAAAAAAAAAAAGACATTCATTCTATGAAGCCACCATCACCCGGATACAAAAACCAAAGACACTATTAAAAAAGAAAATTACAGGCCAATATCACTGATGAACATAGATGGAAAAATCCTCAAAGCTATCTTGATTAACAGATGGCATTATTGCCTACGTAGAAAATCCCAAAGAATTCACAAAAACAAACCCTGTGGCACAAATAAGTGAGTTTTTCAAGGTCACAATATACAAGATCAATATACAAGTCAGCTATATTCCTATGTATCAGCAATGAACAACTGTAACCTAACTTTTTTTTTAAATTATAATAGCAACCCCACAAAGTGCCTAGATAAAAAACTAACAAAATATACACAGAATCTATATGTAGGAAACTACAAGACATAATGAAAGAAATAAAAAAAAGATGTAAATAAATGGAGAGATTCATTGTGTTCATGAACTGGAAGAGTCAGCATTATTTAGATGTCAGTCCTCCCCAATTTGATCTATAGATTCAATGCAATCTCAATCAAAACATCCAATAAGCTTTTCACAGATACTGGCAAGTTGATTCTAAAATGTATATGGAAAACCAAAGAAACTAAAATAGCCAAAATAATTCAGATAAAGAACAAAGTTTGAGGACTCTTATTACTCAATTTTAAGACTTACTACAAAGCTACAGTAAGAAATATAGTGTGGTACTGGCAAAAGGACAGACACATAAG